GGCGGCTTTGGAGCCCTGCTGTCCTCTCTGGAGCTCTGCGCCGCGCGGGCTGCTCCCTCTGCCGCGTTTTCATCAGAAGTGGAAATGATAATCTTGGTTTCTTCCTCTCTAGTGAGGACCAGGACGAGCTGCATTACCAGGATACCGACTCGGATGTGCCGGAGCAGCGGGACGGCAGGTGCAAAGTCAAGTGGACGCAGGAGGAGGTGAGTGAGAGCCGGGCACTTGCTGAGAGCAGGCGCTTCGGGGTCGGGCTCTGCATGGCACCCGAGGCTTGGGTGCATCCACCCCAGCTGTCTCCTGCTGGCCACCACCTCCTGCTGGCTTGCTGCTGGAGAAGACCATGTGTCTGTTTTGGTGACATGAGCTGAGGTCTTAACAAGGCTGGGAGGTTCAGGGGAGTTTGAAGTGTGGCCTGAAGAGCAAGAGCTGCAACCACTTCAGCTGAAGTGTGTGAGCCCTGAGCGAGGCATCTGCTGCCTGCAGCGCTCTTGTGAGCAAAGAGGGATTCCAGAGGATGGCCAAGGCCTTCAGCAAGCTGAATGGCGCAGTGGAAGTGTCCTCTCTTTTCTGCAGCAAGAGCAGGGAGCGTTGAGACTGTTGGGATCATGGCTTAGTCATCCTGGCAGAGAGCCTGAAATTAGTTGGGATATTCTCTTCCCTCCTCCCAGTTCCTCCGTCATCTTTGGTGTGAAAGCTACAAGGTGTCCCGTATCCGTGGGGCCTGAACACCAAGTGAGGTGGTCTTTGTGCAGGGGTCAGGGCCTCGGGCTCGTGCTGGGCAGGGGGTTATTTCATGCCTCTGTTTGCCCAGGCAGAGCACACAGGCAAGGGCACCCGAGAAGTGCTGTAGGGCCCCGTAGCACTGAAAGACAGCAGACCTCTGGGCCAGTGGTGAGGCACTTAAACCAATCGGCCTTCTTGGCTGGGAAAAAGCAGTGGCTGAGCTGGAAGTTGGACTGTCTGGTCCAGGGGGTACTGGGGCTGGATAAGCAGGTAACCTTAGCCACATGGTTTGAACCAGACTGTACTGGGACAGAGCTGAGCTTGCTTTGTACTCGCTGCATGAGTTTGTGCTAGTACAGAGCCTGGAACCAAACGGTCTGTTCCAGTGGGGTTCCATGTGCTGGAGCGCTGCTGAGGGATGGTGGGAGCTACCTTCCTCCACTGAAGGCAGAATGCCAAAAAACCTTCTTGACAGTTTGAAATATCTAACTCCTTGTCTTGGTGCCGTCAGCCCAGGGGTGCCAGTGGCGTGCGTTTGTGAAAGTGGATGTCTTTGTTCTTTGCAGGATGAGCAGCTGAAGATGCTAGTGAGACATTACGGGCAGAATGACTGGAAGTTCCTGGCCAGTCACTTCCCTGTAAGTAACCCCTTGCCCAGTTGGGAATTGTCGTGTTTGCATGTTGCTTCTTGTGCTCATTGCACTGGTTCTCCATGTCTGGGCAGCAGCTTGCACAGTGGGACGCGGTTCTGTGACTGCCGTGGCTGGCTGTGGAACAGTGCTCCTTCAAGGCAGGGGAGCATTGTTCTTGTATAGAGGACTTTGAAGGGCAAGCCTGTGGGAGCTGGGGTGAGAAATGGAGGCTCCTGTCTCTGTGCCCAGTGCCCTAGTCGTAGGATGTATTCTCCATGCGCTCCTGCGTGTTTTCCGTGGGATGGCCCGTGTGTGTGGGGACTGCTGTTGCTATAGCGGCTGTTGGAGCCTCCGGTCCAGCGCGTGGCTGTTCTCATTCCTTTTCACAGAACCGCAGCGATCAGCAGTGTCAGTACCGGTGGCTGAGGGTGCTGAATCCAGACTTGGTGAAGGGCCCTTGGACCAAAGAGGAGGACCAAAAGGTGAGTCAGGGCTGAGAGGATCCGAATGTTGGACTGTGACTGTCTGCGGAGAGGATGGAGGCGTCAGACCCTCGGGTCTTTTTGTCAGCTGTGGGTAATTCCTTCCAGTGGTGGATATCCACGAGAGCAGCACTCTGACCTGTTCTGACCAGACTAATGCAGCCGTGGTCATGACGAGCAGAAGCATGTCTGGGCCTCTTTAGCTGAACACCTTTTTGCTTTCGCAGAGTACTGCTACAGTAGGCTGCCAAGGGAGAAAGCAGAAAAGGGAATTAATTCATCTGCCTGCTGGCAGATCTCCACTTGACCTGGCTGTGTTGGACCCAAGGGAAAATAAAACTGGCATTTCCTGTGCCGCAGCAGACAGACTGAAGTGGATATCTGAGGTCAGCTAGGTGAATCGGGACTTCTGCAAACCTGTTTGCTGATTCCAGAGTGAGCTGAGAGCGGCCAGCTCAGATAAACTCCTCATCTTGATGTACTTAAGGAAAGTTGGAATGAATTCCAACTTTTACTAAGGTTTTGTGCTGCAAAATTTCCTAGCTTTTTAGATTCTCTGTAACGCTGCTGCTCCTCCGTTTCTGTCCCTTTTGGTCCCATTACAGGCTGTTATGGTCCTTTTTGCCTCCCATCTGTGTGTTAAGTCAAGCATGTCCTAAGAATGCTTATCATGATGTCCTGCCACATTCCTACAGCAGAGCCATAGCTGCCTGCTTTCCCCTTCCCTTTGCATGTCCTGACACTTCCAGCCTACCCAGTCATGACGCCCACTGCCATCCTGGCCAGGCTGGGCCCCGGTTTTCTGCTCCTGTTGCTGCACGTTGCTTTGCCCTGCAAGCACTCCAGCTCCTTGGGCTGTGCTGCAGTTTGGTGTCGTTGGCCCGTTTGTCTGTGCTGGGTAGGCGAGAGTCTGCGGTGGGGACGTTGGTTATGGGCCCAGAGTACTGTGAGCGTCACCTGGCTAGGCGCACCTTTCAGCCAGTGCAGCTGGCCAGGGTGGACGTGCTCTTTGAGAGCCCTTTGGTCTCTCAGATTTTGGCGGGCGGAACGCTGCAGGCTGTAGATCGCTTCGTCCTGACTGTGCCATGGATGTCTCGCAGGGGCTCAGAACAGGTTCCATGCCCAACACAAACGTGTTGAGCCTCAAGCAGAAGTGACAAAACCCTGGGTGACAGGGAAGTGGCGAAGTGGATGGCTCTTAAGTGAATATTGTTCGTTTTGCTTTGGAGTTTTCACTGTGCTAGCGGGGCATGGAGCTGCAGGCCCTGGCACATCCTGGGCGTAGTGCGTGCTGTTGGAGGGAGGCTGCACCTCTGTCCCGGCGAGCAGACTGGTGCAGAGCTTATGGGGACTGGTCCTTGGTAGGAGGGAGGGCAGAAGAGCCTTGGAGCAGGCGGGACTCGGCCCTTGCACAGAAATGCGCATGTGTGTTTAAATTTGGGCCCCTCTGCCCCTGGCACACCTGCCAGCTTCCACCCCATCTTCTGTGAGCAGTCACCCACGTTCACAGGTGCCTTGTGGCAAAATGGCTGCATGCAGACAGCCTCTTTCAGAAATTCAGCTGAATCGCTGCTCTCGCAGCTGTTGGTACACCTGATTGTCAGAGCTTTTTCTCCTGAGGGGCCTTTGTGTATCTGAGAAGATGTCTCAAGAGAGGTGAAGAGCAAAGCCTGAAGATGACTGTATTGACCTTCCCCTCCTTTATTCCATTTCCTTACTTCCCTCCTGCTCTCTTCAAAGGTAATTGAACTGGTCAAAAAATATGGCACCAAACAATGGACCCTGATAGCCAAGCACCTGAAAGGGCGATTAGGGAAGCAGTGCCGAGAACGCTGGCATAATCACCTGAACCCTGAGGTGAAGAAGTCCTCGTGGACAGAGGAGGAGGATCGCATCATTTTTGAGGCCCACAAGGTCCTGGGGAATCGCTGGGCAGAGATTGCCAAGCTGCTGCCTGGGAGGTAGGACCTCTGCTCGCTGTTGCCTTCAGAGCTGGGTGGCCCATGGAGATCCATGTGTTGGGCTCACGGGATGGGGCTGGAGAGCCTGTAGGAGCTGTTAGCTGTGCTTTAAAGCTGCTGGCAATGGTGATTTCCGTTTCCTTCTGCTTTCCCTGCAGGACCGACAATGCTGTGAAGAATCACTGGAACTCCACCATCAAGCGGAAGGTGGACACAGGAGGCTTCCTCAATGAAGCTAAGGAGTCCAAGTCACTCTACTTACTCGTGGAGGTGGATGACAAGGAGACCCAAAGCCAAACGAGAGCTGGAAGCCAGGTAGTGCAGCAGCACATTTGCAGCAGGCAGCTGGGTCAGTCCCCTGCTCTGCTAATGCGTATCAGAGCTGTTCATCCACCTTCCTGCTGCCTCTGCCACAGCCCGGTGTCTACATAGACGGTCTGTGCCTTCCCCCAGCCTTCTCCAAGACACTGACTCTTGGGAGATCTCTCCCTCCGGGAGCTAGAAGTGTAACGTGTGCTGGAGCGTGTTATCCCTGCAGAGGACAGCAGTATGCTAGTGCTGCTGTGTTGCCAATCCCAGCATCAGGTCTGTCTTGGAGACCAAAGATTTTTTGACTCCGTTGTACTGTTGCTGGTGGGAGGAGGCGGCTGCTCCAGGCAGTGTGAGGGGCATGGTGAAGAGGTATTGTGTTCCTTTCCTCTGAAAAAGGAAGCAGGGGAAGTACACCCAATTATTTTTTCATGAAGAAAGCAAGTAGCTTGCAAAGGCAGGCTCTTGGAAAGTAGGAAATGCAGAATTAGTGCTGTCTGTTAGCCTTCATTCAGCTTTCTCTTGGGATACTGTGAAGTGAAATCTTCAATTTAACAGTCCTGTGCTCTGTATGTTGCACGGAGTCCTGCTCAGATGGTGAATGGGACAGAGCAGTGGGAGAACGGGGATGTGAAACAAACTGAGTGGCAGCTGGGAGAGCAGGCAGAGCTGAATGTGTCCACAGACCGTTGCTCTTTGTCCCCAGGACTTGAAGTTGCTCCCTTGGTTTCTACTAATGGCTGGACTTTCTTTGTTCTTTGTGCAAAGACCGTGCTGCCGAACTGGCCAGTCGATATCTCTGAAATAAAGGAAGAGGATGTCAGCGATGAGGAAGCCAGGTGATGCGGTGCCCGAGGATGCCTCTTCATTTGTCACATCACCGTACAAGTGGGTCGTCGAAGCTGCCAACTATTTGTACCCAACGTCTGTGCCAGCCTTCAATGAAGCTCTGGACATGATTGAATCTGTAAGTAACAGACCCTTGCTCCTCCAGCTAATGTAGGGAGACTGATCCCCACCCTTTTCCCTTGGGTGAACTTACTGGGTCCTCTTGCTCATCACCATGGGCATCCTGAGCTGGGCTGGATCTGTCACTGGCTTGCAGCTTCCCACTGTCTCTTTTCCAGGGCTGGATTAGGCCTTTCCAGCTCTGCCAGTATTGCTCTCGGCTTACAGATTCCCCTAGGTGGGTGTCGTTGTGCATGGGCTCTGCTGGCCTGGGAGGCTGTAGGTGCTGGCAAACCTGGTCCCAAGCTCTCCCTTTCATAAAAGTCCAGGACCATGCTTATGGGCTTTCCTTTCCCTTGTAAGGCGAGTTGGGATAGGACAGACTGGGAGCAGGCGAGGCCCACTTGTAATGTGAAGGACAGACCCCTTCCTGCTGGGATGATGCTACCATCTGCTTTCAGTGGAGGCAGCTTCACTGAAACTAGTAATTTTGGGCCAGTGGAGCAGCGCTGAGCTCCCCAGGGTGATGGAGGCACGCCAGGGCAGGAGGCTGGCTCGAATCGACAGAACACTTTGCTGCCATCAGAGGGAAGTATCACTGCAGAGAGCTTATGAGTTGATTATCCATGAAAGATCCACTTTACATGTGTATAGGAGGACAGAGAGGCTGTGCCCAAGGCTTAACAGCCCATCTGTGTGTCCTTAGGGGCCTGTATGGTGCTTTGGGTGTTGGTGGGGTTGAGCTTCGAAGCAGCTGATCTCTGAACTGGTCTGGTTATTTTTAATCTGCTTCCAGCAGTGCATGTTACAGCAGAGCCCTGTGTCCAGCTGTACTGGTGTGCTCAAGACTGTGGTTTGGTGTTGGGTGACAGTCGCTTCATTCAGCCCCTGTCCCCAGCTGCCTGTTTTGTCCCCTCTGTGTGGAGGTGCAGCTGTGTGTGCAGCTGTGCTGTGAACTGAACTGGGAAACCAACCTTGCATAAATAGAAAAGTCTGCCCTACGCACAAGCAGCAGCTCTCAGTTGGGTCAGTTCCCTGGTCTGGTTCTCAGCTGTGCTGGCAGCAGAGGGGAGGGCTTGAGCTCTCCTGTATCCAGGCTCCTTGCAAAATGTGGCGCAACCTCACACACCCAGTTATTTCACCTCCCAGTTCATCTCTGCATCTGCGCCAGTCGGCTGCTCAGCGTTCTTTCCTGGGCTGCTTCTGACGGTTTCCCTTGTGTGCAGGACCCAGACGGGTGGTGTGATCTGACCCAGTTTGACCTGCCAGAGGAACCCTCCGCCGGCAGCAGCAGTAGCAGCAGCAGCCCGGAAAGGCAAACCCCCAGCAAGCCAGCACCGTCCCTGCCCAATGTGACCGAGTACCGCCTGGACGGCCACACCATCTCCGACCTGAGCAAGAGCAGCAAAGGGGAGCTCATCCCCATCTCTCCGCACGCAGAGGTGAGCTTTGGCACGCCGCCCTCTGTGCTGAAGAGGCAGAAGAAGAGGAAGATCTCCCTCTCCCCAGTCACAGAGAATGCCACCAGCACCAGCCTTTCCTTCATCGACTCCTGCAACAGCATGACGCCCAAGAGCACCCCTGTCAAGACGCTGCCTTTCTCTCCATCTCAGGTACAGAGCAATGGCGGAGCCCAGTCTGTGCTTCTCTGCTTGGGCTTGGTCATGAGGTCGTAAGCATGTTAGTGCTCTGCTTGCCTTAATGCCGTGTCTTCCCATCAGCTCTGCCAGGGTTGAGTTTCTCCTCCTGTGAATGGGGCAGTGCCAGTGCACAGGGTTCGTCTCCGCTAAAACAAGGCGCAGAGCTGGGTTCTGGCTCTGCTTGTCTTCAGTGCTGCCCTTTCTGTGGGAGCAGCAGCCTGGCTCTGCCTCTGCGAGCGCTTGCAGCGCGGATGAAGCCCAGCTGCCCTGTGTGGTGGGCCGGGCACGTGCCCACTGTGAGGAAGGAGCACCGCTGTGCAGATCTGCGTGCCTGCCTGCTCCAGGTTCACTGGGGAGCACAGTGCTTCTGTCCCCAGGGTGTTGCTGCCCCAGCTGCGGGTAGCAGAGTGGCAGCAGTGGAAAATGGCTTTCCCTGTTCATGTCCAGCTAAGCCACGCAGGCAGGCTCGGCAGCCCATGCCTTGTGCAGGTCTCTGAGTTGCTGTGTTTAGGCGAATGCTCCTGGGCTTGTCTTCGATGCAAAAGGGACTTGGGATCTTTCAGCATTTGCCATGAGTCCTGCAGTGTCCACATGTGTGTGCACACGTGGCTTCCAACATACATCATCTTGGAGTCTGTGGTGTTCAGACCCATTGGTGTGGCGGGGTTCTGTCTGTAAAGGCTGCTGCGTTCCCCAGCGCAGTTCCCACAGCTGCTCTGTTGTTCAGGCCCTGCCTAGCCCTGCCTTCAAGGCCTTGATTTCTGCTGTTTCTGCAGCCCTGGGTTGCACATGGGAGAGCACCACAGGACAGTCTGACACTTAGGTTCAGGTGGACCTTGAATGCAAAGCCAGCAAGAATTGGGAAAACGGAGTGGGACCTGAAATATGAAGCTTTGCAGAGTGTAAAAGGCTGGAAGGCCTGGAGTGAATCTGAGAAGGCAAACGGCATGTCCTGCTTCTGGGCTGCACTTCAGCCATCAGTGAATGTAACACACAGAGCTCTTCTCTCCCGATAGGTTCTCGGGTACAAACCGTGTCCCTTGTGTGAGTGGAGTTGACACTTACTGGCTGTCATGAAGTAAAATCCTAGCAGAGATGAGACGGTTTGTTGTTCTCTCACAATTTAGGCTGAAGACAGCCCAGTGCAAGATCTGTTAACTTGTATGCTGTTGTGTTACATGGACTTGCCTCACGTTTGCCAGCCTGAGGTCAGAATAGACCTTTGGTGGGCTGGCATTACCCCTCCTTCACCATTTTACTTGGCCTTATCTGGGCCAGTGCAAGGAGAGACTGCTCTCGCAGCCTCTAGCTGCTTGTGGTTATGTCGGCTCATCCCTTATGGGAAGGGAATAACCGTTACAGGTGTGAGGCACCTTCTGGCAACTTTCACATGTGTGTCCATGTTACAGGACTGTAAGACCCTGCAAGAGCCATCCTGGTTTATACCAAGACAGATCCCTCTTCTGCCACTCAGTGTGGGAGAGTTGTCCCTACTTCAGGTTTTCCGCCATATTTAGGAAAAAGTAATGACTTGTGACACTGTGCCGGGATGCTGGAGACTGAGTGTCTTCTCTTTCTTTCCTGTGCTGTGCAGTTCTTAAACTTTTGGACCAAACAGGATACACTAGAACTGGAGAACCCGTCTCTGACCTCCACGCCTGTGTGCAGTCAGAAGGTGATTGTCACCACCCCTCTGCACAGGGACAAGACCCCTCTGCTCCAGAAGAACTCAGCGTAAGTCTTTTCCTCCTCTTCCCCCATCCTTACCCGAGCAGCATCCTTTTCCATGCAGCAGTCTGGTCCAGTTCAAACATACCCCGCCAGTACTTGTGCTGGCACTGCTGAGAAAGGGGCAGGGCAGGCTGGGGATTTCCATAAATCAGTGTTTCGCCCCAAAGACAGCTCCTCTCCGAGCTGCAGGGAAGAAGTGTCCGGGCTGACTGGGGCTGCAGCCAGGTGACCACTCTTGTGCTCAGCTGCTGGGTGGGCCATTGCCAGCCGTGCACGTCTTTGTCTGGGAAACGTTGCTGTGCTGTGAGCCCTGTGCCATCAGGGAAGGGGCTTGATTTCCTCAACAAGAGCTGTTCAGATCCACCACTTCAGCTCTGCACCCTCTGATTTGCCTGGCCTGAGGGGCAAGTCCAGGCCAGTGATTACCCAAGGCACTCTACCAGGCAGGTGAGGAGGAGTGGTCTGCACAGGGAGTGTTTTGCTGGTGAACCGAAGCAGCACAGTGTTTGGGGGTGCTGGCTGTGCTAGCGAAACCGCTCTGTTGTTGGCATGGTCCAGAGCTGCTCCCCTGTCCAGGCAGCATGAGCTGGCTTGGCTGCTCTAAGTGCATTTGCACCCAGCACTTCTGCTGGTCCAGCTGTGACTGTCGCAAGCCCAGGCTGGGCCTGGGCAGATCCGCCAGCAGAAGCGTTGCAGAGTAGTGCTGGCCTGCAGAGCTGCATGTTGCCTGTGTCAGGGTGCTGGCCTGCTTTCTGACAAGGGTGCTTTGTAGCTGGTAAGGTGGAACCATAGAATCATTAAGGTTGGAAAAGACCTCTAAGATCACCAAGTCCAACCATCAACCCAACACCCCCATGTCTGCTAAACCATGTCCCAAAGTGCCATATCTACACATTTTTTGGGACACCTCCAGGGCTGGTGACTCCACCACTTGCCTGGGCAGCCTGTTCCAATGCATGACCCCTCTTTCAGTAAAGAAATTTTTCCTAATATCCAGTCTAAACCCCCCGATGCAACTTGAGGCCATTTCCTCTTGTCCTATTGCTAATTACTTGGGAGAAGAGATCAACACCTGCCTCACTACAACCTCCTTTCAGGTAGTTGTAGAGAGCGATAAGGTCTCCCCTCAGCCTCCTCTTCTCCAGACTAAACAGCACTAAACAGCCCCAGCTCCCTCAGCCACTCCTCATAAGACTTGTTCTCTAGATACCTCTCCAGCCTTGTTACCCTTCCTTCTCTGGACACGCTCCAGCCCCTCAATGTTCTTCTTGTACTGAGGGGCCCAAAACTGAACATGGTACTCGAGGTGTGGCCTCACCAGGGCCGAGTGCAGTGGCACGGTCGCCTCCCTACTCCTGCTGGCCACACCATTGCTGGTACAAGCCAGGATGCTGTTGGCCGGTTTGGCCACATGGGCACGCTGCCGGCTCGTGTTCAGCCGGCTGTCAGTCGGCACCCCCAGGTCCTTTTCTGCCGTGCAGCTTTCCGGCCACTCTTCCCCAAGCACAGCTGACATGTTTGAAGGGTGTTTTCCCTGCTGAAGGCTCCTCTGTGCTTATTTGCTCTGCTCACACCCCAGGAACAGTCCAGCCAGGTGGGTGGCTGCTGCTGAGGCCATGTGAGTCTCTGCAGGTGGTTTGTGTAAGGAGAGGGCTTGGAAGGTCGAGGGTTACTTTGTGTGGGTGACAGCATGTCTGATCCTTCATCTTTCCCACTCTCTGCTCCCAGGTTTGTCACACCAGATCAGAAATATGTGGTGGACAACACTCCTCACACCCCTACACCTTTCAAAAATGCCCTGGAGAAATATGGACCAATTAGGCCTCTGGTAAGTGTTGGGCAGGTCTGCCACTTGCTGGGGCAGAAATGTAATGAGTGCATATGGGACATGGGGTGGGTTGCAGTGGAGCTGTGAGCAAGCTGTTACCTGTGCCATAGCAAGGTACGGTGTGGTAGTGCCAGGCTGAGATGGGAGGAAGGAAGGGGAGCTTGTCATGGTGAAAATGTCATGGTAAGCAGCCACAGGACTTTTAGCTCCTCTGTAAACTGGCTAAAAATGTCAAAACCTGCCCTTGAATCAAGCTGCAGTGCTTGGCTACTGATGAGGAAAAGCAAGGAAATGATCTACCTAGATGTCCCTGAGGAACTGGGTCTCTTAATGCAGGTTATGTGGCGATGGCAGTGTCCAGTATCCCAGACCTGTGTGTACTGGTCTCTTGCTGGCACGTTTGGGGTGCAGCTGATAAGTCTGTCATGCTTGGAGATTCTGTGAATCTGTGAGGCTGGCAGAAATCTTGTCATATCTTTTCCAGCTGGGAAGTAAATAAGTTGTCTTTGTGTTTGTCCTCCCACTGTGCGCTCCCCTGGCCCCATTATCCCTTGAGGGAAATACTTGTGAGTCTGACCAGCATACGGATTTTGACTGTCTTGTGCTCTCTCTCTGCCTTTTCATGCTAGCCCCAGACTCCTCACTTGGAAGAAGACTTGAAAGAGGTGCTCAGAAGTGAAGCTGGCATCGAACTTATCATAGAGGACGATGTGAAGCCTGAGAAACAGAAGAGGAAACAAGGGGTGAGCTGATCTTGCATCTGGTACCTGCTGCTGAGCTGCCCTGTGTTGTTGAGGGGTGTTTTGGCTGATTTTGTTCATCCTGCTGCCGATGCTAAAAAGTTTTTGGCCCATGACTGCTGTCTTTTAATAAGCAAGAGGTGCCTGAGGTTAAGGCCTGCTTAAAATATGGCCAGCTGTGTCCTGGTTTATGCTGAACTCAGGGCATGCTAGGAGACGCCGTGTCCCTAACCTACAGGAGAGACCCATGGCACGCTTGGGAGCATCTGTGGCAAGTTGGGCTGCTGGAAGGCTGTGGGCTGATATGCAGAATCTCTTGGCTCAGTTGCCCTGCTGGCTTTCCTTTCCTACTGAAAGCAGCTTCCTCTTCTAAATCGGTGGCTCTTGGTGCCAAGAGAGGAGCACTGGAAGCTGCTGTGCCCTGTGGTGGCAAAGGCTGCAGCATGTCTTCTTCCGGAGGTGCTGGTGCAGTGCAGAGCTGGGGTGGTGTGGGCTTGGTGTGCACCCTGGGCCCTGAGGGTGGGAATTCACCGAGTTGATTCATGCTGACGCGTGTTTTTCTGTGTCCCCCAGTTGCGCAGGAGTCCCATCAAGAAGGTCCGGAAGTCTCTGGCCCTGGATATTGTGGATGAAGATATGACGCAAAATATGCCTGCCCTCCCCAAGACTGTCTCTTTCAAAAGAGCCCAGGTGAGGGGTACTGTGCTCAGGGCAGGGGTAGAGCTGGCTTCTGCTCCAGAGAAACCCTGTGCAGAGCAGCGGGTTTGCCACCTGAAGCTGCCTCAGAACAGGATGTGTGAGTGTGGATGAGGGGCTGGTTTTGTTAGCTGGTCTTTTAGCCAGGTCAAATATCAGCACTCTTAGGGCAAGCTAACTAGTCTCCTTATACTCTTCTTTTTTTCCCCCTTTACAGCCTGTCAACTTCCTGTCGAGGTCCCTGAACCTTTCCTCCTCGAGCAGGAAGAATGACAGCGGTTTGCTCAACAGAGCCTTTGTGCAAGTGCAGCCAGAGAAAATGTCCTACAGGAAAATGCCAAGCCATTTCAGACCACCAGCACCGGTAAGCCCTGCCACCACTGCTCTCCCAGTCAGGAGGCTAGCTGAGTGTGCCTCCTCGGGGGGAGGAGCGAGGGGATTAATCATAGAATAGTTAGGGTTGGAAGGGACCTTTAAACGTCATCTAGTCCAACTCTCCTTGCGATGATCAGGGACGTAGAATGACCGAATGGTTTGAGTTGGAAGGGACTTTAAAGATCATCTTGTTCCCCCCCCCTGCCGTGGGCAGGGCCACCTTCCACCAGACCAGGTTGCTCAGAGCCTCATCCAGCCTGCCCTTGAACACTGTCAGGGAGGGGGCAACCACAGCTTCTCTAGGCAGCCTGTGCCAGGGCCTCACCACCCTCATAGCAAAGAATTTATTTCTTGTATCTAGTCTAAATCCACCCTTTTTCGGTTTGAAGCCATTACCCCTTGTCCTGTCACTCCATGCCCTTGTAAAAAGTCCCTCTCCAGCTCTCTTGCAGTCCCTTCGGGTACTGGCAGGCTGCTCTGAGGTCTCCCCGCAGCCTTCTCTTCCCCAGGCTGACCAGCCCCAGCTCTCCCAGCCTTTCCTCCCAGCAGAGGGGTTCCAGCCCTTGGATCATTGCTGGGGCCTCCTCTGGCCCCGCTCCCGCAGCTCCAGCTCTGTCCTGTGATGCAGCCCAGGGCATGGTTGGCCTTCTGGGCTGCCAGTGCACACTGCCGGGTCATGTTCTGATCAGCCAGCACCCCCAAGTCCTTCTCAGGGCTTCTCCACCCAGCCTGTATTTGCTTGAGACTGCCCTGACCCCGATGCAGGACCTTGCACTTAGCCTTGCTGAACTTCTGCTGGGGCTCAAAGCCCCATGGTTGATCAGAGCTGTGGCCTGCTTAGTAGGTTTGGCCCTGGATTTCCTGGTGGGAATCTGCATCCAGTCCCAGTCTGTCAGGGAATTTGGATGATTGATCCAGCAGCAAAGTAAACCTTCCTTTTTCCAGTGAGCACTCCTTGGGTGGACAACAGCAGGCTCATCTTTTTTGATTCTCTGTGCAACTCTGTAAAGAGCTGTATAAATGCTAAACAAAAAGGTATTTCCCACCCCTGTGATGTTTAGGGTGTTTCTAGGTTGCGGTGAAGGCCGTGTGCCATAGGCAGCGTGGGCTGGCTGTATCCTGCTGTGTACCTGAACCCGTGGCAGGACAGAGCTCAGCTGACAGCGTGCCGCCTTGTAGCTTGTGCTGAGGTTGGTGCTGTTACAGCTGCTCTGTTCCTCAGCTCTGCACGCTTGGCTCCGGGTTGTGCTGGAGTCACAGCAGCCTCCACGTGCCCTCTGGGGCATCAGCAGTTTCTTGTGCTCGCTTTAAGATCGTCACCACTTGGTGTAGTTGCAGGCAGAGTGCGTTAGTGGAGGGGTGTCCTTGCTTTGTGAGGGAGTGTGGCTCAGAGAAGGGGCTTTGGACCCTGATTTTGCAGGTGTTTGGACCAAGTCATGGGAGCTCTCTGGTAGCTTGAATGAGGGTGGAAATACACAGTCTCCTTGGTGGAGGGTGAAACTGCAGCTGGGGGCTGGTGTTGGGGGTGTTTTCACGTCCCAGGAAGAGCCCAGGTGCAGTGTTGTCTTCGCTGAGCAGCCTTGGCTCAGTCTGTGTGAAACGCTGCAGTGAGGGGGCTTGCATCTGCCCCTGGATTAAAGCTGTCTGCTGTGAAAACTCTTTCTTCTGACAAAGAAGTGCTCCTCAGCCAGAGTAATTCCTTCCCCTTCTCAAAATAAACCCCACTTAAACACTTCCATTTCTCCTCCTGTCCTAGGCAGGGTCGTCTTGCTCTGAGAGCTAATAGATCCATATAAATAAAGCTTTGGGAGTGACTCGAAGGTGACAGTAAAGCAGCTTGCGTGGTGACTGAATGCAGGTGTGCAGTGAAATCCCATTGCCCGCAGACAGCAGAGCTGTCTGCGGTGTTGCTGGGCTCTCGGGATTTATTGTGCCGGATTGGTGTTGCTAGCAGTGGCAGTTATTTATTAAGGACGCTCACCTAGCTTGGGCTGAACCTGAATCAGCCCCCAAGCTGTGCTGTGGCTGCGTGGGGCCTTGTTAACTGTAAGCCAACGCTGAAGCTCGAGCTCTGGCTCTTTGCAGTGCATGCAGTCGGGTATTTCCAGGCCGGGGCCCTGTGTCTCTCTTGGCTGCAGTTATCAGAGGATTCGCAGGGGTTTTCCTGGAGTGCAAAAGCATCCACGAGGTGCCACTTTCTGCACGCAGTGACTGAAGCACACCTGGTTTTCAGTTCTTCCTTCCAGTGGGGCCCTTCTGAAACTACAGGCACCAAATTGCTGTTAAGGATGGTCTTTGAGCAATCCAGACCTGGGGCCGAGCAGCTCCTGTAGGAATTGAACTGGTTGGGAGTAAACCCCAAAGCTGTTCCTGAATTCCTTCCATCCCTCTGGAGCCTTGTTAGCTCAAGGAGCCTTAGCTTAGGTTTGTGCTTTGGGGTTTTTGTCTCAACCCAAGTAAGGGAAAGCCCTGAAAAGGCGTGTGGGTTGTCCTGAAATGGAGCCCTCACCTGGGGAACTGCTGAACGTAACCCCGCTTTGCTGAAACGACCATCTCGGCTGTGATGAGTAACTGGCGGTGTGCAGGTTCCTCCTGGCTGCAAGATGGGTGCTCCCAAGTTCAAAGTTTTATTTCCCTTGGATAGCAGATAATTGTTAGTTTATTTATTTTTGCTGTCTTTTAAAACGGGATGTTGACTTTGTGTTGGTCCTCTCCTCAAGCTGTTGTACACATGCTTTGTTTTCCCTCTGTAGATGACCAGGGCTTGGAAAGCGGTGGCCTGTGGTGGAACCCAAGACCAACTCTTCATGCAGGAGAAAGCTCGACAGTTTTTGGGCATGTTGAAACAGAGTCACACATCAAGGACCTTAATCTTATCATGAAGGATTGCTCTGCTTTTTTTATTTTATTTTTAAATTTTTTTTATCAGTGGAGGAGAGAGGGAACCACAGGAAAAAATACGCTCTCCCCAGCCATAGTGGGTGGGGGTGGATCTTTTTCCTTCTGTTCCCAGGTAGATCTATATTGTAATAACTTGGGCTAACTGCTGGCTACTGTGTGGAATGCAAGTTTCGGGATCATTTACAGAAAGGCAAATGAGGGAGGGTCGGAGAGCTGACAGCAAGACCTCTCTCTGCAAGACCTGGGTTCTGCAAAAGCAGAAGCACGCAGCCGTGTCCCACCTCGGAGCAGCGTGTGCAGCGGGCGGCGGGGGTCGGCCTCGCAGCCTGCTCTGGTACCTCGGGAACGGCTTTTGCAAAGGTTCTTGCATCTCCCCTGCCTGCTTCCCCCGGGGCTGGAGTGGATTCCCCTCGCTCTGGGAGGAGGGAAGGTGCTGCACACTTGGGGGGGAGCTGCTCTGGGGGGGACCCCTGTTCAGAGCTGGCCCCTTGCTCCCCGGGGCTGTTTTGTACTGCCGAGCTGCGGAAGGGGAGCGGCGGGCGCCTCTCCCCCGGCTGCGCTCCCTCTTCAAATAAACCATGGTGCTAACCTCACCCCGTGGCTCGGACTCTGCCTCTGCCTGGGGCCTCGCAACGCCGAGCGAGGCAAGGTGCAGCGAAGCGCCGGCTTGCGTGTGGGGTCTTTTCTTGCCTGGCAAATTGCTGAATTCTTTTCAGCTTCTCAGCATGGGGGAGAAGGGACGGTTTCCCCCCTGCGCTTCGTAGTTTCATCAGCTGTTCAGAAATGATTTTGGCTACTTCATGGGGAGGTGCCACGGTGCGTTTGAGCTTGGCGTGGCTGGGATCTCTGCAAAGCTGCAGGGGTGGATGGAGGCTGCGGAGAGCCGTGGGCTGGAGAACAGCACCAGGAGCGCGTGGTGTAGCAGAGCCTCTTCTGTCCTACTGCAGAGGTCCAAGCTGCGTCCATGTAGCTGTTTCAGTGTGGTAACAGCAGTGTGGCATCCTGTTTTGACATCACCAGGGATGAAGTGTGATTGTAGCAATGTTTTAACTGTTTGCAGTTGAAAAGGTGCTGGAAAAACTGAAGAGGGACTCGTTGGTTAGACATGAACAGCTCGTTGGGCGAGAGCTCCGTTCGGGGCTGTGCTGTGCCGCCCTTCGTAAGCCACCGCGGTGGGTCTGCCTCCGGCGGGGCGGCAGCGCGGCGAAGGCAGGCGTGAGAGGGGCCCTTCAGCCCGGTGCCTCTCGACGGGGTCGCTCTCTGCGCTCCCTTTGCAGGGTGGAAAAACAGCAGAGCTGTTTAAATCTCATTTTTCAGGTTGTGGCTTACATTGGGAACAGTCAAAAAACCGGTACTGACAAACTTGTTAATGCAACCTTGGATCCTGGGAAGCGAGGGAGTTTTTGAAACCCAGCTCATTTTTCATATTCTACAAGCTCTGGGCCAAAGTAAATCCGTGAAGTAATTTTTATTTCTGTTTCTCAGTGCTGCAGTGTTTGCTTTGGAAAGACGGCTGGGGCCACTTGTCTGAAAGCCTGGCTTTAGCTGCTTCAATTCTGTTGTTATTTTAAGAGAAATCATCATAAAACCATCCCTCTCTGCTTGGGCTTTAGCTGGTTCGGCCATTCCTGCGCGGGGTGACTTTACAAAACCAAGCCCAGAACTGTGTTTCCTTCCCGGAGCCGACGTGAGCTGGGAGTCCTGAGCAGCCAGGGGCGGCCGCAGCACAAATCGGTGCGTGAGCCCGGCACACGTGTTTGGGAGCTGCCCCTAAATTAAAGGATTATGAGGCTGGGAAGTATTAACTGCTGCCCTGATGCTGTAAATCCAGATAGCGCTGGGCGTCCTGCATTGCAGAGTGCTTATTAAGAAAGATTGAGGGGCAGAAAAATACCGAGGAAAATGAGTAAGGCCTAGCATGGTTAATGAGTAAAAAGACAATTAGCTTTTAATTGGAAAATGGGGCTGGTTCTGATGGGCCTGGCCTGGCTGTTGTAGGCTTGGAAATAGGCACTGCTCTGCAGGTGGGGGGAAAAGGCCCCACTTGCTTTGTTTTTTCTGTTAATATGGATGCTCTGCTTTATTTCCAGTAAAAATCTCACCAAGGTTGAACTTCCCTAGTGGCTGTGGGGTCCCTGGGCTGGAGCTGGAGCCCCTTGGAGGGGATCGTGCTGCAGACTCCTCGCAGGCCAGGGCTCTGTGTCCCCGCTCTGCCCTGACCGTTGTCCCCTTGAAGCCTCTGCTGTAACACAGCCTGCTCGGGCTGCACAACCCTCATTCACAAAAAGAAACCTGGAAATCTAATTTAGCTTTAAATGAAAGGCAAAGAGGAAAGAGTCTCAGGAGCCTCTTGTGGGGGAGAGGAATCCTCTCCCGTGGCTGGGCTTGCTGGAAAGCTGCAGAAACCCCAGGCTGCTGCTTTATTTTAAACTTTGTATTTGCTTTTGGTGTTTTGCATTCCTCGGCAGGGCAGATGACCCCTTGTTTGAATCCAGGCATGGAAAAAGAATTGAATTTAAGCAGGGATGAGAGGGGAGTAGCAGAGCTGGAGCTCTTGGGTCATGGTAGTGCCCAGACTGCAAGCGGGACATTGCTTCCAGCTGGGACAAGCCCTGGAAAAGCTGGGGAGTGCAAAAATGTTTGGGTAAGGAAAAAAAAAAAAGCGGACACCCAGGGTTCTTTGTTAGCAGGCTTCCTTCAGGATGGAGCTGGATGGTGCCTGGCAGGGCAGAGTGGTGCCGAGCTTGCGTGGCTCCATGGCTGGCAACATGGGAGGTGCTTCTTTGTTAGCAGGCTTCCTTCAGGATGGAGCTGGATGGTGCCTGGCAGGGCAGAGTGGTGCCGAGCTTGCGTGGCTCCATGGCTGGCAACATGGGAGGTGCTGCGTGTCCCTCAAAGGGCTCTCGGCTGCTGGGCTCGTTCCTGCTGCTCGGAGGGATTTCACAGCCTTTTAATCTTGTTTTGACAGGTATTTCTGCTGAAGCGCTGTGCACACGGCGGGTTGCTCGCAGGGCGCTGTTTGGCGTGGCACCCGCCTGGAGCCGTCCCTGCCCGCAGCCGCCACGAACCCAGCCCTGGTAAAGCCAGAGCTTTGCCCGCTCACGGGCAGGGGCTTTGTGCCGGCGCGGCCGCCGTGGCCGGGCGGGCACTGCTGACCTCGCTGACACCTTGTACTCGGTAACTGATGCGGCGGCACAGAGCGGAGTAAATGGCAGAGCGTGAAACGAGGAGTAATTGCGTAGTGGTGATACGGAGGTTTGAGTCTGAGCATCACCTGTCGCTGCCTGATGCTTCCACGAGAGCGCGGGGGGATCCCGTGTCGCAGCAGGGCTCTGGGCTGGGCCGGGACCATCCCAGCTCTGTTTGGGAGCCGTCCCCGCTGCCGTGTGTGCAGGCGTGCTGCTCTGTCCCTGCTCTCCTCCTGCCTTCCCGCACGGGGCAGCGGGGTTTACTGGGGCTGGGCATCCTCTGGGGCTGCGGGGGGGCTGCTCTGGGTGAAAAAAAGATGAATTTCCCATTGGCGGCTAAATTTGAGTTGGTTACGCCTCGGTGATGTCTCACAAGCTTTATCACAACTCGGTGCAGGAAGGGAGTCTGCCTCAGACCCAGCATTGGACCCTGTGTTGGGTGCAAGAGGAGCCTGAGGTTGTGGTGGGCATCCAGAGCGTCTGCTTCGCCAAGAAATGCTTTGACCCTGGGGATTACTCAGAGCAGCAAAGTGCCTCCTCTCCCACCTTTAGCTTGTGGTATTTGTTGAGTAGTTACTATGCAATAATCTTGGAAAATTTCCCATGTGCTTTATTTGACACTCTCACCTGTGGTTTTAGAGGTTTAGGAAATTTGAAGGACAATTGTAGCCTGGCAGATGCCTGCTGAGGATTAGCGGAGCAGCTCCTGGATTTTGCAAGAGGTGGAGACCACTCGTGTTGAGAGCTGGCTGCAGCTGGACAGGAAACTAACTGTGCTTTGGAAACTTAAAGTCCTCCCCCTGTTTCTGGAGCGAGGAAACAGCAACTCTTCATCTATGCCAGTACAGAATAATAAAAGATTAAAATACAGTATGACGTCAGGGAAAACATTTTGCTGTGGAAACCGAAGGGTTCGGACTGAAGAGATTAATATTTCCATTTGGCAAATGGTAGAAAAAGAGAAATTTCAGGAATCTAAAAACACCCGTTGTGAAAAGACTCAGCAGAATTGCCCTGGGGATGAGCGCAGCCTCGTCTGCCCTCGCCACGGGCAGCACCCGGCTTGTACGTGCATGGCTGGCAGCGGTCAAAGCCGTCACCTGGATCGTACGAGACCCTCGTGAAAGGCAAATCTAATGCTTCATAGGAGTTTTTATTTGTAAATGCGTCAGGGTTTTTTGGTTTTTCTTTTTTTCTTTTCAAAATACTGAACAGATATTGTAGGAAAGTAAACAGCAATTTCATTCCTCATTTCCTTAGGGTTTGTTTGGTTTGGTTTTGGAAATCTTGCCCAAAGCGTTGGCTTCGAGTGAGGTAGCCAGCCCAGGGGAGGGGAAGCCTTGCATCCCTCTTGTACGCTGATGCCTTTAAGGTGTGATTTTCCGTTTTGTTTTTTTGGTTCATGTGCGCTGTCTCTAGTTCTGGGTTCGGCCGGGGGCACCGAGCTGCCGCAGACACCCGAGTCCGTCTGTTGGGGAAGGGCCAGCCCATCCCCTCCTCGCTGCGGCAGCCGGGGCTCGAGGGCGAAGTCTGGTGAATAAAACCGTGTCTCTGCCGTCCTGCGTCTGCAAAGCTGTCACAGCAGCGGCGTTGGCCTGAGCGGCTGGGGACGGAGCTGCCAAGTGCCTCTGTCCGGGGAGAGCGCTGGTCTAAAAACTCCCCTATCAAATTAGGATCTGCAACCGTGTAAAAATAAAGCCTGTTATCTGTAATAGTGCAGCAAAATTGGTGTCGGATCTTCCCAAAAGGACTAGACGGGGGGGAAGTAATAGTTTTAGATTCAGTTCTGCTGATGTACTCCTCTACGCACACGGTTAGTGTAAACAGCCTCAGTCAATGTCTCAATCTGCCATTTCTCAGGCCCTGCAGAAGCAGACAAACACAAAATCGATACTTGCTCAAACTGTTGCTAAGTTTTCCTTACAGATTAATTTCTGCCAAACCACCCCTGCAGCCACGGTCTCCGGAGCCCTCCCTGCCCCGGGCCTCATCCTGCTCCCGGCTGCGCCTTGGGCCCCTCCTGCCGACACCGC